TCAGAAGCAAAGTCCGCTCTGATAGCGGAGGGGCCATTTAGAATAGGGTTTTGGGCTCCTTTATAGTATAGTTATAATAACGAACCCTAAGGAATAATATTCGCAAGCATTTTAGCTTCCATATTAAACCATCATGAACATTTCCGTCTCAGCCCAGCATTTCCCGATGCATGTGGTGTCTGTCCTGGCTGCTCGCCTTCGGCGGCTGCTCCCTACGGAGTCGAGCCGCCGTCGGTGGCTGCGGTCACCCGTCCATGGTTCAACAACTTCATGAATTTGCACGTGGAGTTTGGAGTTTTACACCGTGTTAGACAGCGTGTTATAAGGATCCTACACAGAGTTGATGCGTGCTGCAGTCAGACAGATTTTCGCACCGAAAAGCGAAATCCCCGAAACCACCGGTGCTTTGTCCGATGGGAGCCAATGTAGGGGCCGAATAAACGAAGCAGGGGTCTGAACAGATACTTAGCACGAACTTAGGTGACAAAGTACTCAGGCTCCTATATCCCTCACTTCTTCTGGAGCATGAAATCCAGCAGCCCGGAATCCAGGACAGCATCGAACCACTTCCTTGGGCATCGAGAAGTATAAGGGCGCGACGATTTCAAAACACTGTTTGGGCCTTGGAGCTGCCGTGAATGAATGAAAACAGGCTGAATCAGTCTGAAAACTTGCAAGACACTCCCTACCTTGCAGCGCCATTGAATATAGAAGAGGCAGAACAAGGACAAAACCAGCTCTTGCATGAAAGACACGACATGACGCCATACATCGCAACCCGAACTTGGATACCCTGGCCTCCATTTCGAGGCTGTCTTAGCGCCTCTAACACCCGTGACACCATCAACAACCCCAACTGAAATCAAAACCCTAAACCCTAAACCCCCAAAAAATCCAAACGCTAGAGCCCTATGCAAAACATCCCAAACCCTGAAACTCAACACCCCCAAACCCTCAACCCCATGAGACTCCAAACCTGAAACAACAAACATCCCAGACCCTGAGCTTTGTTTCCAATAAACGAATACCTAGAAGCCCCTAAATCCCCAAGTGCCGGAGAAGACTCGAGTCGATGATGGGGTCGAGGATCCGGGACATATCGAAATCCTAGGGTTCTTCTGGAGGATTGAAAGTGGAACTTGGGGTTCCCAGAGACTCCAATACCCCTTAATTAAGGAATATACCTTAAATCATAGTAGGGTCCCTAATATGATTTAGGGTATATTCCTTAATTAAGGGGTATTGGAGTCCATGGGTTTAGGCTTCAGGGAAGTAGGGCTTAGGATGACGACCGTGATTATGACCATGGGCTCGCACGTCGGATGTACTACTACAAGTAAAAGTACTGCTAATCACTAATAGGACTATGATGATGAAGATAGGGTGATTATGAGTCAACTAAATTTGGTGATGATGACCAATGACCATTATCATTGTTATCCCGGACCTTATGATTCGTACCCACGAGTTTTTGCATACTATAGGTTGGCAGGTAGGTAGACAAATACGAACCGCTGTAGCCGCAGAACCCCCCCCCTCTCAAAACAAAACAAAAATCAAGCAACCCCGTTATATTCGGCTCAAGCCGCCGCTCAAAAAACACCACAAAACTAGTGTTTAAACCCCTCTAAACCGAACTCCATGACTTCCCAAACCCAACCTCGAGTGCTCTTTGGACCAGGGAGCCACGCTCGCCTCGAAAACAGTGGGCCGATCAGGTGCGTCCGGGTAGGCCAGCGGAAGGTCCGGAGCGCCCTCCGACTGCAGTCGGAGAAAGCCTGAAGGCGTGCTTGACTCTGTCGGAATGCTGGCATGTAGGTATGGTATATAGACATACATAAAGATATATAAACATAAGTGTGTGTATGTATATATCCATCTATATATATATATATAACTATATATCTACGTATTTGCATATATATATATATATAACTATATATCTACGTGTATATATATATATATGTGTGTGTGTGTGTGTATGTATATATCCGTCTATATATATATATAACTATATATCTACGTATATACATATCTATATATATATAACTATATATCTACGTATATACATAAATATATATATATATATATATGTGTGTGTGTGTATGTATATATCCATCTATAGATATATATATATATATAACTAAATATCTACGTATATACATAACTATATATCTACGTATATACATAAATATATATATATATATATACGTGTGTGTGTGTGTGCGCGCGCTCTTTTGTTTCTTTGCTTACCAATCTATTCCATTGTTCCATTATCTGTTTATTCAATTACAGTATGTATTTACAGGTAGTTACATACTGCCACACTACATGAGTGGAGCCTGTTGCCAATCAGTTTTGCTGATGGGTAGACGGGTGGAAGGATAGGACAACAGGAAAGTGTGCCAGACTGCTACCAAGCAGCGCCGTGGGACGTTGGTTATCACCTGGGCCGGGTATGCGTGCTGCAAAACACAAGGCCGAAAACCATGTATTCAAAGCCCGCTGACCGAGACCCTGCTGGGGCAGCGGCATCTCGTGATTCCTTGACTGCTCAACCAAGTATAACAATCTTTCGTTGGGTTCTGGTTGCCCGATCAGTTTGGCGAGAGAACACTGGACAACATGTTCTATAAAGCAGCTAGGGCTCCTGGATGTAGACCTGATCGGCATCTTTCCTTGAAGCAGCGGTTGTTCGGGCCGCATAGAAGTAGGTGCTGTCGTCGAGCCATTTCCAACCGAGCAGGAGGAGAGCTACCAGCCTGGTCAAGCAAAAAAGTCGCCACACCAAGTTGCAATCAAATTACCCTACGAGGAGAACGCGGTAGAAACCTCCCGACGGTTCGAACAAAAGGCCAATGAAACCGGAAGAACCGGGTCCAAGAAAAACACGCTCGTGTAGAGCGCATCTCAAACAACTCGGGTTCTTCTATCGCTTTGCATGTAAGCCCAACTCAAGATCATGACTCATCAAAGGCATGTTCATGTTGCCCCTGAAGTTAAGTGCATCCGAGAAGCACCGGGAGCCAAGGCACCGTCTCAGTCTCCCCTCTCTCCTGCTCTGGCTTCGACCTGGTCGCAAGTGAGGATCTTCTCCACCACACACTCAGTGCTCTGGGCTTCTTCGCCAACCTCCGCTGGATTCTTCAGTGGGAGTGCCTTCTGAGAATGAAGGCTCCTTTTCTGCAGGTCTTTATGTTGAGGATCCCACTGTTTAAGGTACTGTTCCTGCTGTGGGAGTGTATGAGGCACCGTCGGGTTTTGATCTATGCTGTACTTTAACTAGAATAAAGAAGCAAAGAACAGCATTACTCATTGATGCGGCCCCGAGAATGCCGCAAACCCCAGCTTAAAACAACAACACTTGCTGTAATCCAGGGTTCCCGACATCCAAAAACTGTTTTTTGACAGCTGTCGATCGCCTTCTATATCTCCGCAGAGAAGGTAAGTTGTTGGTGGCTGAGGTTAGCTTAGTTTGGCTGCCCCGCTCCCCCGTTGGTCCAAATCTCAGGTTCTTTCGGGTTTAGAACGTCGGGATCTTTGCCACACTCCGACCCCTCAGCTTTGCCACACTCCGACCCCTCAGCTTCGACACCAAGACACCGAAACCACAAAGCCAGATCACCATGTTGCCAAGGTGGCCCCCCAAAACGAAGTAGAAACTCTAAACATCTAAAGGTTGACCTTTTGCCTCGCTCCAGCTTTCTCACCAAGGCACGGTGGCACACTTGGGCGTAGACATGCAGAAGCCAGCGGCCGCGCCACCAACGGAGTGCCAACACAGAGAAATCCCATGGGATGGGATTTAGCCCTGACGATTCAAGGTTTTGGCGTTCAGGGTGCTGTAGGGTTCAGGGTTTTCTTAGGGATTTCAGTAGTTTGGGCTTTGGGGCTATATACGAGTTTAGGACTTGGGCGCGCTGAGTTCGGGGGTTCTCATGGCTTCGGCATTCGGGTTAGCAGGCTGGTGAAGCTTCGCGGCAAGACGTTGCGAAGCATCTACAAACCCAAACCCTGAGCGGCCGGGCCATGATTTTAGGGTTTCTGCCTGGATTCCAATCCTTGCCTCGGCCTGCATGCGTTCACGGGTGCCTGTTGATAGTAGTGGCGTCGGCAGGGCACTTGAGCAAGCTTGGCTCAAAATTGCGACGCCCAAACACAAAACAAAACCCCCCAGAGGCTTCTACACCCTGGCAACCCCAAGGAAAAGCCAGAGTTAATTGCGGGTGTTCTTGGCACATCATGCATCCTGCTGTTCCTGGTTTCTTTCTGTCCCTATACCCTAAACCCTACATTCCGTATTAGTTGCTGCACGTGCTCTGCTAGGATGCTTTCTTGCACACCGGCCTAACAAGCCAAACCCACAATCAGTCGCGATCCCCATTCTGCTGAAGAGCAAAGCGTCTAAGAATGAGCTTAGCCTGAAATGTGACGAAGCGGAACAGCTCGACTCGTGCACACATATCTTTGCCGTGTCTTTAGTTGTATGCATGGGCAGATATATCAAACATACAATCCGTCGATGTGCATCACTGAGACCTGAGCCCAGCTCTGCTGTGTTGGGCTTCAGGGACATTGCAAGGCTTGGGATTCTACGTAACACATCTTTCTGTATTTTATACCCGGAAACTGCCACAGATCGGCCAAGCCGAAGATTGAAACCCTAAGTTCCCAAACCCGAAACCCTAAGTTACTTTGAACTCCCCGAACCCTAAGGCCCTACACCCTTAAAGCTCAACGAAAGAAGCAAAAAAAAAAGACATCCGAAAACCCGGGCCCTGCGCTTCGAACCCCACCTCCGGCGCCTCCGTCCAAACCCCCACACCCCCAACGGTTTAGGGAGAAGGGCTTTTAAGGGATTTAAGGGTTAGAGGCTTGGGGTAGGGCTTATAGAGTTAGAATGTTGGGGATCTGCTTGTTGGTGACCTCTCTTTTGAAAAGCTGGATTGAGTGTTGAGTTTAAGGCTTCGGGCATCAAAATCCGCGCAGTGCAAGCCTGCCTCTTGCAGTTCCGTCTCCGACTGTTCCTCGCTTCGCAACACAACATCAATGACATAACCATCCTTCCATGAAGATTGTGTTCGCCTGACACCTAGGAGAACACATGCGGCAGCAGTACTAGTGGCTACTAAGCTACTAGATGATGGAGGTACAATGGAAAGAATGGAAAGCCTGCTGGTTCTCCCCATGGCTGCAGTGATTTCGGTGGCAGTCATGGTAGAAAACAGGAAGCAAACCAGCATACCCAAGCAAATTGCGAATTGACCAAAACAGGCGCAAGCGCTTAAGAGTGAGTATAGCAACCCGAGAGAGTTGTCTTAATTGATATACTTGCATGGCAATGCATGATGTGAGATGTGTGCTGGAATGTGCAGCTACTTACAAGCACACCTCGTTTGATCACCAAGCACAGCCCAGCACAACTTGAAAACTCCAAACCCTCAAAACATCTGTCTCGAAACCGTACACCCTAAACCCTGATGGACTCCTTTGAGGAACCCTCATACTAGCCCCTACAGCGACCCTCACAAGAACCCCTAAACTATCAACCCTAACCCGAAACCCTAAACCCGAAGCCCTGAACCCTAAACCCTAAGTTTTAGGGTTTAGGGTTTTAGTAAGCTCTAAGCCATCAACCCTAAACCCTAAACCCTGAACCCCAGCTTCTCCAAGGCGTTGGCTGAAGCAGATGTCTTCCATCCGGCAACCGCCTGCAAATGCCGATGCCTGCCGCGGAAGCTTTCGGGTTTTAGGGCCACTTCTTGGGGTCTAGGGTTTTCTTTTTTTGTTGGAGGGGGTGGGTTAGGGTAGGGTTTCAAGCTTCGGGTTATATACTAGTCTACATGCACTCAGACTGAACTCGAACTTTGAATCGGATACCGAAGGCCTGCATGTTCCGAAGGCTTCGGCTTCTTTCGCTTTGGAGTTGCCAAATGATAGGTGCCAGTACTCGTTCGAAGCTTGATGGATCCCGGCATGGAGCTTGGGCTTAAAGGAAGCCGCAGCCAGTTTCCAAGTGCTCTCCCAACCACCAGTAAAGCCAGTTTGTACTTTCCCATCAAAGAATAAAGTTCTAAGCCATGAGGTCCCAAGAAACAACCAGCCCGATACACCCAATGGCCTGTCGGGATCAGCCTCATAGCTCGCCAAGAAGGCTTTCAGGTCACCTCTGGAAACTGACTGAAGAAAAGCTGAGGAATTCCGAGCTTCAAGCAATAGCAACGGGTACCTTATTGAGGAGTTCTCAAACTGAGGGTCGTACTACTTAGAGCCCAATAGTAGGGGTGCCGTGTGTTCTGCCCCATTTGTGGATGCAGTGAGGGACTCTGCTGGATTTTTGCAAGAGTGAATAGCTTTCTCATCTTCAGCGACCCGACGGCGGCCTCCTACGTTGCATGGAAGATGGGCGCCAGTAGGTGGGAGCGGGAGTGACAGGGTGCAGTCCTTGACAGAGCAACTGATGATTACGATTTAGGGCTTGCTTCAAGTTTCGGGGTGGAACGATACTTGTCATCTTGGTCCCGTCCCGAAAGCCCATGACAGCAGAAGGTAAAAACACAGATCACCGAGATCCCCTGTCTATGCCAACTGATTTGCACCTGGATTACAAACATCTCATCTCTGCTACGCCCATCCCAACACATACATGACATACATGTTGGCTGGGTCGAAAGATTTACCACATCTAGCAAACTTAAGAATTATTGGAGTCATCAGTGCCCCTCTGACCACTCTTCATAACTCCTCAATCCAGACTCAGTTCATTTGGGATGTCTGGGTTATTCCATGCCGCCGCAGTGTTTGAGTTCGGGGTCGCCGGCTGCAGCAGGCCCAGTGGCCTTCTGCAACACGAGCTTCCCCTCGCGCCGACTCCGCGGCCTCTTCAGGCCCCGGTTTTCGGGCTTTTAGACGCTGTTGGGGTTGACCGGGGCTTGAGCCATAAAATTTATAACTAGAAACAGAGATTCGAACTTCAACTTCAGGCTTCCGGGCTTCGTGACGCTTGTGGCAGGTCGCCGGCCTGCTCGGCCTGCTTGACTTGCAGCCGGGCTGCGTCGACCGCTTGCTCCTTGCAGGTGGCGAGCAGTTGGCGTGGCTGCTCAAAAGGGCCGGAAACTTCCACGTGCATTGTCCTCCGGAGGAATGCGCTTCCTCGGTGAGCTCTCTAATTGCAAGGCCACTCACATCGACGCGGCGCTCTCATGGGAAGTGCGCCCAAGCAAGACAGGACAAATTTCACACTTCCTTTCTCCTGCTGCGCATGATCTCATGTGCAGCGTGGCATTCGACGAGGAAACGATAGGTGACGGTACGTTCACGAGCCTATTCAGGGCACCTCGCGCAACCGCAAGGAAGGACCTGGACCGCTCTGGTAGCCCAGGAGACCAAGGGAAAAAAGGAAGGGCCCTCAATAGCCACCGCACATAAAAAGCAGCAGAACCGTGTTTGATGGGCAGCGGATGTGTATGTTCCGCAACGTATGTAGAAGACACGATCAGTCCTATGAATCTGCGCGCCCGATTGAAGCCCCTCCTTTAAACCCCCTGGACGCTAACTTGAGTGCATTGCGCTTGTCATAAACGATACAGGTGAAAAGTTGCTGCCGGGCCTTTTGCTCATGTCGCAAGCCACACCTGATCGGCTTTACGGCCTGAAGCATAATGCTGCTTGTGCACTCCAAATCAAGCACAAACACTGTTGTAGCATGCTGGCATGAATGAGTACAAATATCATCCCTTATGTTTTGTTTTGTTTCTCTCTCTCTCCCTCTATGGATACTGTGATCTACCCCAAAGCCCTGCTCGAATTATTAAGGCCCCGACTGAAACTCTATGAATGCCCCCCCATTATAAATAAAGCCCTCATACACACCATGCAAGAGCCCTTTAAGGACACCCTCTTCTACTTACTATAGGCTTTGGACGACACCACAAGAGGCCCGGCAGAGCTCCTCCCAAATTTCAGCTGCATTAGCCTCTGACCCCGGAACTGCAACATGTCGTGGGTGCCAAAAAGTGTAGGCTTTAAGGCTTATGAGGGTTTAGGATTTATCAGGGTTTAGGGTTCATAATGTTAAAGGGTGGTTTCTTGGAGTCTTTCCTCAAATCGTCGACCCCGCTGAACGCTATCAACATCGACAACCCTTCAAAACCGTAAGAACCTGAGTCTGGTATGTCTGCCGAAGAAGTACCACGATTGATTCATTTATCATACACACAAATAACACCTTGTTCCGGAGTACGTTTATCGAAACCAAGCTCACGTGGCGCAGCGTCGTCCGAGGACTGATGCCGCTGCCCTGCTCCGGAGGAGTGTCAACGCACGCTGGATTGCGTTTTGTTCTTCGGAGGAAGGCGGGCCGGGGGCACCGGTACATACTTAGTTTTGGAATGTTTGAAACATGTGAGGGCGTCGTTTCGCCTTTGTGACTTCCGCCCGATCCTTTAAATCCATCAACGAATCTACACATTGCTTCCAGAATAGTGGTTTTCAAGGTCGATGCGGACTTAGATGAAGAACACCTTTAAGGATTCGATGTCCTCATGAGCGCTTCGGCTTTCGGGCTTCAGAACACGGCTTCCTCTTCGTCGGTTCTGCCGCTGTGGCCTAGAATGACTTCGAGTCTCGCTACTCCTAAATCATTTAGAGCAGATGACCTCGCAACGTCAGGATTGAAACGACGTAATTGATGGTGGAAGGGTTCGAATTCAGGCCCTGAGTGGTGGCGCCAAGATCTGAGATGAAAAGACTACGGAGATGTATCAGGTGTTCGGGTGTAGTTACGAGAATTCGGCCTAGAGGTTTAGGAATTCATGATCAGCTGTTCCAAGATAAGAAAAGCAGTCTGGAATGATACTCGAAGGATACCGGTGCTGTCCCAGGAGAAGTGCTGGTCAGGCCTAGTGCATACCATTGGATGTATGGATGCTGAACCGTCCGCCCCGGCGCCACCTCGGCACCAATGTTGCATCATATAGTTTTGATGTAATTCATCCCATGTACCCAACCCTATAAACCCTAAACCCCTAAACCCTAAGTAAACTCCTAAATCGCCAATCCCGTTTGGGTTGGGGCTTGCTGGCTGGTTCAGGAATGAACCTAGAGACCGAGAGTTTCGGGTCGACCTCATTAAATTATGCACTCCCTGAATCTTCGCATTCGTGGCTGTTCTGAAGGTTGACACTCTGCCTACCACACGTGCCACCATTCCTGCTTACTTTTGCTACAGCTGTTCGGAGTGCTACTGTCACGACGGTGAGTCTGTGTGTGTGTGTACGCCTATACACCAGGTAGATGCTTCCTTGCTATCGTCTCCCTTGCTACTGCTATCGCAGTTACCCTGAATGCTGCCGCCATTGCTACCTCCCTCCTCGTCTTTCTGCCATATCTCAATATTCTGACGGTCTTGTCAAGCATGGTAGTATGTTGGCATCGTCGACCTGTAATGTCGAAGAACATGGCTCTATGGCGACTACGACAACCGTCGATTGTAGTGCGTTGTATTATCTACTGGTAGACTTCTACGGCAACCGTGCTACCATATGTAGCATGCGTCTTGAAGCTGGCGGTCTTCTCGAGCGTCGGTGGCTTTAGCGCTCAGGGTTAGGATTTTAGGGTGAGGGGGGATTTGGGTGTCGGGTGCACAGCGTGTGTTCGGGTTCGCGTCGATGTGCTGGCAAGAGTCGAAACTTGGGACTGCTCTTGTACTAACCTTAGTAACACCTATAGTCTCCATTGTATTCCTTTTTTTGGTTAAACCAATTGTATATTGACGAGTTTAAAACGTATCCCCAAAAAAGAACTACAATGGAGACTATAGGCACTTTAGGTTTAGGGTTGGCTAACGGAAGCAGCTACAAGGCCCCGGCAAACTCAACCCCAAACCCAAACTTGTTCTAAGTGAGACCTTAACCATCCTGGAGCCCGGCTTCAACCCCCGACCCTAACCTCCTCACCCTAAACCCTAGACCGTCTAGACCGCGAACCCGTGCCTAATTCACTCCAAAACCTCAGATGCGGGCAGGTTGATCTTTCCATGCACGTCCCCGGAGGCCAAAAGCCCAGCGCCTGGCCACAAACTTCGTGAATGAGCTGAAAGACGTCAACATGCCGAAGAGGGCTTATGGGGTTTTAAGGCTTTAGGGCTAGAAAGGCCCATAAGCACACTGCAAGCACGAACGTTCGCGAAGCTCACTGATCTGCTCTGGACTCATGAGAGCGCACAACAAGCTGGTTTTGCGCTCAGGCATGGGGT